TGGACAGCCTATTGGATCTGTGGTGCTCCAAAGCAATGGCTCCAGGGATTTGAGTTTGCCATCTGTGCCACTCTGGTGGATGCTTGAGTGTGCTCAGTACTTCACAGTTCCTGCTGATGTCATTTAGATATCCATTCTGTCTAGCCTGGTTATCACCTTACTGGCATCATCTTTCCTGAAAATGAATCTGCTGAAATGCTGTATTTTCCTCATCTTTTATATATGTTACGAAAACCTCTGTTCATGGATTCTTACGTTGTTGGTTTTATTGATGGTGGCCGCTTTCCCAGTTTGACCAATATTGTGGGCCATCTCAAATTAGGCAGCCATCAGTATAATAGTATCATTGTCATTAATAAATTCCAGAATCCCCTATTTTAATGTAAGCAGCATCATTCTGACCCGTGGGTTCTATTTTAGTTTATTTGCAAGAAATTCACATAAGTGCATTCCAGTGGAATTTTCATATCCTTCACTGGAGTCTCTGGATAGGATCTTCCTTGGGACTTTTTCTTTGCTTTTGGCCTTGTCTTTCTTCTCAGAGACATCCTTTGTGGACTTTTCTTCCTTCTTGTTGGAAGGGCATCTGATGTTCAATTGAATTACATCCTGGGTGTCTAGTGGCCCATCAGCCAACAGGGTAGAGAACTCCTTACATACTGCCAGGCTGGACCAGCTAGAGCTTGGAATTCGACTTGGCTCTTTTCCTGGCATGACCAACCATGGTTTGATGTCCAGCTCTGCATCTCCTGCTGCAAACCAGCACCATCATCCTCTTTCTCAGCTTCTTCCTTATTTGATGTCTTAGATATAAACTTGTTTTTGTTTACAGATTCTTCCATCAGATTTTTCCCCCCTGATTCTTTCATTATTTCCAGGATCTCCCGAATAGTGTTTTTTTAAGACATGTTCTTCAATAGAATGCAGTAGCTCCTCTGGATTCCTGAATAACATTTTTGGCAAAATAGCAGCATTAACCTGTAGAAGTGAATAGGCTTTCTATATACCAATAATGAACCTGCCAAGAAATAAAGTAGAAAAGAAATTCCATTCCCATAGCTCAAAACAAACAAACAAGCAAACAAACACACAAACAAAAAAAACACCTAAGAATAAACCTAAACAAGGTGATAAAGAGCCTCCACAATAGAAACTTTAAGACACTGGAGAAAGATATTGAACAATACTCTAGAAAATGGAAGGACTTTCTATGTCCCAGGATTGACACAATTAATATTGTAAAAAAAAGTAGCTTTAATCCCCAAATTAATCTATAGATTCAACATAATTCTCATCTAAATCCAAATTATATTCTTTAAACAACCAGAAAAAAATTATGAAAATCACATGGGAGCAAAACAAAACAACCAAACCTCTAATTAGCCAAAGGAAATCTAACAGAAAAAGCAATGCTAAGAACATCAAAATACCCGACCTTAGCAGCACTGCAGAGCCATTGAAACTAAGCAGCATAGTACTGGCACAAAGACATATAGGTAAATGGAATATATCAGAATGTAGACCGAAACCCATACGACTACAACCATCTTACTTTGATGAAGATACCAAAAATATACATTAGAGAAAAGACAATCTCGTTAACAAATGGTACTATAGCCAGGTGAGGGGGCACACACCTTTAATCCCAGCACTCAGGAGGCAGAGGCAGGCAGATCTCTGTGAGTTCGAGGCCAACCTGGTCTACAAAGTGAGGTCCAGGACATCCAGGGCTATACAGAGAAATCCTGTCTCAAAATAAATTAAAAAAATGAATGAATAAATGAATAAATAAATAAATAACAAAGACAAATGAGCAAAAACAAATAAAAAAACACAAAACAAAACAAAAAACCAAATGGTGCTGTGAAAACTGGATGCCCTTATTTTTCACTCTGTGCAAAACTCAACTCCAAATAGATGATGAATCTTAATTTAAGATCCAAATCTTAATTTAAGATCTATTAGAAAAAAAAAAACCTTTAATACATAGATCTAGAAGAGGGTATTCTGAATAGAATTCTATCTAGTTGGAAGGTAATGCCAACACTTACCAAATAGGACCTCATGAGATTAAAAAGCTTCTACACAGTAAATGAAACAAATGAATGATGGCAGAGACTGTCTTAAAAATGGGAACAATTCCTTGCCAGCTACACAATAGACTAATGGTTCATATCCAGAATTTGCATAAGACCCCTCAAAAACAAAATAACAAGAAATCAAATAATCAGTCAGTAAATGGGCCAATGAAACAGTTCCCCAATGATGAAACAAAAATCACCAACAAAAATCAGAACAAAATTCAGTGTCATTAGTCATCAGCGAAATTAAAATTCAAACTACAAAGACATTCCAGCACATCCAAGTCATAACGGCAGTCATTAGGGAAGCAAATAACAACTGATACTGGCATGGATGGGAAGAAAAGGAACCACTCTATAATGCTAGTGGGAATATAAATAAGTCAGTCATTAATGAAATTCATCTGATAGTCTCCAAAATAATAGATTGACCATATGACCTCCCTATACCTCTTCTAGGTATAGACAAAAACTCCAAACCAACATATCACAGAGTAACTTGCATATTGATGTTTGTTGTAGTACTACTCACAAGTTTTGGAACCAAACTATATGTTCATTAACAGAGAAATGGATAAGGGAAATTATATATATATATATATATATATATATATATATATATATATATAAATTTTTTCATCCATAAAATTGAAGTCATGTCATCTACAGGAAATGGATACAACTGGAGATAATCATATTGAGTGAGTAAAGTTAATTTCAGAAAGTCAAATATTTCAAAATTCCTCTTATTTATTGTTCCTTGATTTAATATACACTAAGAAAAATGTATGTATGTATGTATGATATGGCATGCAAGGAGAAGTAAAATTGTCTAAGGGAACTATTTGGATATTGAGGAAGTAGAGGAGGAAAAGGGGAGAATAAGGAAGCATGGTGAAGAATATGCTCCTAGTACAATATATATTTGCGTGAAAATATCCTTATTTAACACAAATCTTGTGTACAATTAGTATATATCACCACAGAAGAAAAACTCACTTGTCTGAATATGACAGCTTGACATGGCTGTAGCTATCTTGATTCACAACCCCTATAATTGTCCTAGAGTTATTCTAGTCAGTTTTGCCTGTATGATTTTTGAGCAAACTATAAATAGATAAAACCATTAGAGTAGCATGTGGAGCTTTGCAATAAGACCCTGATGCCAGCAATGTGCCTAGTTCTTTGATATTAGCTCAAGATAAATCATGTAGGTTCAGCTTGGATGAAGTCACATTTGTCCTGACCATCATAAATGCTCTTCCTTCTGAACCGAATTGAAATGATTCAATTGATCCTGCCACTGATGCTCAGGACTGTGTGTCTGTCAGTAAGTCCCTGTGAAGCATACTGCGTGAAATCCTAACTATGGTGGCTTTCACTCACAGCATACTAGGCTGGTACTCCTACACTAGAACCAGGCTGTTCCAGAGTATAAGCTCCCCCTGTCAGTCCTAAATTTGAATGTTTCAACTCTGTGTCTCTTTTGCATTTGGTGCCTTGTTTTTTTCCTTTTTGACTGTAGTATATATGGGTAAAATTCATATAAATATGCATATATTTATGCTTTCTATTAGCGATATAACACTTAAAATTATAAACAGAATGACCAGCAGTTTAGTTACTGGTTTCCAAGAATGTGACCAAATTAGTAAATGCTGAAATGCCTTTTCCTCATTATAAAAGTACTGAATTTTTAAAAATATTTTTTATATTGGAAAATTAAAATATAATTACATAATTTTCTTCCTTTTCTTTTCTCCCTCCCACCTCTCCAATGTATCTCACCTTCATTTCTTTCAAATTATGACCTTTTATTCTTTAAATGTTGCTATGCAAGCTTCCAGGGAAAGGAAGTAACCAATAACTCTGCCCCATTATTATATCTATGAACTCTGACTATATACAATGAATATATACATATATGAACATATACAATAATTAGCACAAAATGAACTGATTATATACAATGAATATATACATATATGAACATACACAATAATTAGCATAGCACAATATCCCTAAAGGTGCCATAGTGACCATAGTGGCGTGCATGCCTTGGAGGCAACCACAGCTGTCTAATTAGACTTAAGACCTTCTCAATAAAATGGAAACTATAGAGATTTTTAATGCATACTTTAGTTTAAAGGATTATTTCATAATCTGGGAAATAATAGAATTCTAGAAAAGGGCAAATTATGATGAAGGTAAACAAATTAAGTTTAATATAGCCCATCTTAATGTGGCTCACACTCAATCTGGCTGAGATTGGCAAAGGACTTGACCACTGTAGTAACATAAGAACCCTAAAGTTGAACAAGATTCCATCATGACAAACATGATTGTTAAGTTAGGAAACAAAGGATTATAATGAGAAATGTTCATCTTTTAAAGCTTTTGTATGCAACTGACACGTTAACCCTTCATATTTAGGGTTAATAAAATATCACATTTTATTGTCTAAAGAGAGAATTAAACATACTCAACTTCATTTGACCCAGGGAAGTACAGTTCCAGCAATAGAGAAGAGAACTAGAATAACTGTGAACAGTCCAATGTAATTAATGATTAATTAATTATAATCTGCATGAAGGAACTAACTGAAGCAAGAGTGATTCATCTGATAGAAAGCAAACAAGCAAATAATCAAATATACTCAGAAAAAGTACTTAAGTCATGTACTAATCATATTATATGTCAACAAAAATAGGGTTGAATAGGCTTATAGCTCAACAGACAACAGAAAGAGGAAACTCTGAGAAACAAAAGAAAAAAGATAAAGCAAAGGTGAGTGAACCAAAAATCAAAATGTAATATAGGTCAGAGAAACTATCTAGAATGTAGTATAGCATGACAAATAGATGGAAGACAGAAGATAAACAGGTGAGAGGTAATCAAGAGAGGTAAAACCAAACTCACTTTAGAATGAATGAAACCGAATGAAGTGGTCCAGTGGAAGTTGAATTGGAAGTGGAGGCTGTAAGAACAGAAGCAGTAGGAGCATTTGCAATATCAGCTGGGCATGTCAGTAGATGAAAGACACAAGGTTATCAGTTTAAGAAAATACCAGGAATATCTGAGCAGAGTAACTGAATCCTCATCTAATCTCACCACAGTAAAATTCTAGAATATGACATGTACAAAGAACACAATGAGAACAAACAACAGGAAGACAGGTGAATGCAACTTCAAGCTCCAAAATCTAGTCTCAGCCACCAAGGAAGATGCTTTGATAAGTTCATGTTCCGGAATTGTGAGCTCTAATATATGATGGCCTCAAGACAATCAATATGTATTTTCATGGAAGTACAATCTTTCAATGAAAAGTGTTATGCTAAAAAAGCATCAACTTATAGTGGCTATGCATATTGAGACTCTTAGAATTTCAAAATTTTGCTTTAAAATGGTTTAATGTCAGTCATATGCATCAATTTTCTTGCAGGGAAGCCAATAACATTAGCTTTATTACAGAGACCAATACCAAGCATCTTAAAGTTAAGCAACATCTAAAAATCAGAACACTGTCGAGGAAGCTTGAGAGACAAAGGAGCTCCTCTCCTTGATTCATGTTTTTAAAACAGTTTGTACAAAGAAAATATTTGGTTTTGTGTGTTCAAATCATGCCATATTGAAATGAGACATTATTAAACAGAAATTATTTGTCAGTTCCAAACAGTTGCCTCTGAGAGTAACACTAGGTTTGCACTTCGTCTTTTTACAGCAATCATACTTGAATACAGATATTCTTCTAAGAAGGCAATATGTTTCTCTAAACATGGTACAGACACTTATTTTTGAAAATGGTCTTGGCTAAAAGGATGCTTGGGCCAGGCTTGCTCACACTAGAAGGGACTTCTTCAGTGGGAGTTTTAGGCTAAGAATATAAGGATAGGGAAGTGGTTTGGATTATTTTTTGACTAATCAAATCTAAGCGAAGCCAAGAATTCAATTGTCTGGAGGGTCTTTGGCACAGATAACACAATTATTAACAAAAAATTGAAAAAATCAATTGGTAAACTAGTAAAAATAATTGATAACAATTGTCAGGCATGAGATGTCACAAAGTTGTTTTTTACCCATCAACTTTGAAGAATTATAAAATTTTAATATTATGTTTATAAAGTGTCCTTGGCATCATTCTATGGGCTTTCCCTCACTCTGAAAGGTGATAGTTGCCAATTCCTTTCAGTCTGATTTCAAATGGGAGGGGGCTCATCTTGGGACATAGACTATTCTTACATGATAACATGCTGGCCTTCAGATTGAGTTTGATACCATAAAACTACTGCCCACCAAGTGCTGACAAGAAAGTCTCACAATGAGAGAGCCTAGATATCACTATGTGGTTTAACAATTGGCATGACACCACCTGGAGGAAATTTACATTTATTTTATATAGATGGCAATGGTCATACTGCCACTAGCCAACTGAAGACCTCTTGAACTACCATGTTCACTTTATCTTCCAGAGGCTCACACTTAGTATAGGGAGGTTTGTGTATGTCCAACAATATCCAACTCAGGCTAAGTGGTCATGATTTGTGCTAACTTCCTAAAGTAGCATCTCTAGCCGGGCGTTGGTGGCGCACGCCTTTAATCCCAGCACCCGGGAGGCAGAGGCAGACAGATCTCTGTGAGTTCGAGGCCAGCCTGGGCTACCAAGTGAGCTCCAGGAAAGGCGCAAAACTACACAGAGAAACCCTGTCTTGAAAAAAACCAAAAAAAAAAAAAAAAAAAAAAAAAGAAAAAAGTAGCATCTCTATTATAGAGGGAATTAACTAACACAAATGTAGATGAATCTCAATACAATACAAAAAATGCCACACAGAGAAAATGTAATAATAAATTAAAAAATATGTAAATGTATGAGTGCATGTGCACACACATGCATGCACACATGTATAGATGGGATAAAATTTTAGAGACTAGAAAGAAATAAAAATCAGGTGAAGATACAGATTGAGTAGATGGTACATAGATTTCAATTTCATCATTTTAGTAACCATATTTATTTAAAAGTAATAGGACAACCACGGGAAAGCACCTTTGCAAACCTCAAACAGTAAAAATATATTTTACTTTGTGAGTTGGGCAGGAAGGGAATAGCTTTTAAATGAAATGGAACTGTGCCTGTTGCTATTTAGATATTTTTCTTCACCCATAATGTACATTGTTACTCCTTTTATTTCTTCCTTCCACTCCTCTGGCTGCAGGTTCCTATAATTTGCCATCAAAGATTCCTGACCAATGTGGTAACATTTGGATGTTGTATTCCTCAAGTGGACATGAAGATACTGAGTAAAATGTCGGCATCCATAAACAGGTAGAATGAACCTCATATGTAATTTAGGCAACAGTGCGGTAGTTTGGTAGTCACATGTTTCACTGGAGCATATTTGTGCACATTCTTTCAACCCCATGTCTGAGGCTATTCACCATGCTTACCTAATTAATGCTATAAGGACTGAGTTCAGAATAGCTTTTGCTATGAAATAAATGGCTTGTGAGAAAGGAAAATATGGCAAACCCTTTATGGAAACTAGCTGATTTTTAGAGTGAATTCAGATCAGCTTTGCACAATTATACCTTTAGAGCATTAGAGGTACCAACTTGCCAAATATTTGTTAAGGTGTTTACAGAGGTAGCAAGACCAAGTGAGGGGAGATTCGGTGAGTTCACTGCACTTGGTGATTACAGGATCAACTTAAACTAGGATTTTTTTCTTCGTGTATTTAAGTGAGGAAATGAAAATATTCTTGGGCATTTAGCCAAACGAGGTGTTTTTCATCCATCCAGTAATAGCTTTTCCATATGCCAACTCATCTTTAATAGTGGGATGACACATTCTGACATGTGTATGAGACCCTTCTGCAGAACCTAGGGTAGAAACCCACAGTCCCTTTTCAATTTCCAGGTTGTGAAACTCAGCTTTTGCTTATGATAATAATAGATTTCTGCCTCAAATCCTGAGGATGCTTGAGGCATTGTCATTCACTGAAGGAAATTCTTAATTGACTTCACTCAGAACTGCAGTTCCTTCCTGTCCTGTCCTGTCCTGTCCTGTCCTGTTTGGGGAATGATTATGGAGTCATTCCCCTGAAGACTGAACTCCATGATTTCTCTCAGTTGACCTTAGCCAGGCATGGCAATCTATAATGTTACTTCCAACTGTTAAGATACTCATGAACACTGTACATACCAAAGCAAGTTCTTTCCTCCCTAGCTCCATAATTTACTTAGTTTCTGCAGATAGATTTCTGTAGGAATTCTCCAGAACACATTGACTTGGCCTTTACTATCTTCCAAGCCCTAATTTTCAATGACTAAGTCTTCATTGTATCAACTAAGGTTGTGTTATTATTTCAGTTCAAGCAACCTGATTCTCTCTAGCAAGGAGATGGTCTTTTCTGCCTGAATAAGCATGGATTTTGTCAGAGCCCATTATTCCACATGAATTTCTAATAAAGTAATGTCAGAGCCAAGGACCAGCTTGTGTGAGCTTTGGGAAGCTGCATGGTTATAGATAGTTAGCCATCAGTTTGAATGTGAAAGTTTGTCTTTTTGTGGTGCTGTTCTCTGTTGGTCAGTTGTTGAAAATTAGGCATGGTTTGAAGCCACTTGATTGTGATATTTGATTTCCTCTATTTCTGAACCCCAAGTCTATATCATGCATCTATGATATCCCAGCTGTAAAATTAGCAGAAGGTAACATAGGGGAAATACATGATACATTCTATGTTCTTCTGACATATCAATACATGTTTCAAAAAAAGCAAAGGCTAACTTTAGCATCTCTAGGACATCAATTAGGCAACCTGTATTATACATTTACTAAAAGACAACGGATGATATTAAGCTTTTTGGAGTATTACAATTTTAGCCATGTTTGGTAGATGGCATACAATGTTGTTTCAGAGTAATACTACCCATTAATATAAAGTCTTTCCATGCCTTACAGTCAAACAGTCCTTGCCTTTGAACTTAGCAAAGTTTTTGTGGCTTTCAAAGTAGATATTTCATTTTATATGGAATATAGTTCTCTGTATCTTATTGCTGCTTCTACTCTTAGGCATGTTTGGATAAATTTGTTCTTGGCATGAAAAGCACTAATTACTCACCAATAATTAATTGATTATAGGAGTTTAATTGACTATTAGACAATAATTAAAACACTGCAATGTTGACAAGGTAGTCAAGGATTTTATGGCTTCACATGTATAATTCACGCAAGTTATGAACTACTTTACTCTAGAAACCAATCTCCAGTTCCTATCATGGGTCCAAGTACTCTAGCACTGTAGTTCCTGGCCTAATAGCTATTGAATTCTACCCATAAGCCAAGAGGTGTTTTTGAAAGGTTGGATGCTCATTTATTATACATTTTAATATTATGTTATCTCTACCTATAAGTTTTGATATTAAAAGACTTTCTGATTTATTGTTTTATGATTTCTAAGTTATAAAATTTAAAATATGGAGATCATTCTTCATGCATGTGAATATATGTTGCTGTGATTGGTTTAATAAAGAAGCTGACTGGTCAATAGCTAGACAGGGTAAGGTTAAGGGGAAAGCCAAACTGAGAATTCTGGGTGGAAGTAGGGTGGAGTGGGGAGTCACCAGCAGAGACAGAGAGAAGGAACCAAGCCATGTGGCAAAGCATAGATAAGAAATATGGGTTAATTTAAATGTAAGAGTTAGCTAATAACAAGCCTGAGCTTTAGCTGAGTATTTATAATTAATGCTAAGCTTCTGTGTGGTTCCTTGGGAGTAGCTTGCTGGACAGGAACTTCTGCCCACTAATGATGCCCAAATGTTCAGCAACTTTATCCACATAAAACCCAAGAGAGCTTGGGAAAGGGTTCTAGACACACAGAAATGGAGCCAGGCTCAGCTTCCTAGTCTTGGGTCTCTCATGTTGGTCGCAGTGAGGGACACATCTCCCAGCCAATGTCTGTGAAGTTGAGCTACCAGCATAGCGTGAGCTAAGCTGCCTGACAGCTTCCTGCAATATCTCACACCAGCTGCAGTACATAAAAGTGTCCCCTGGCAGCTGCCTGTGAGAGAGAGCCAGTCAACATGCACTTCCACCATAT